GCGACAGGCGCTGTGGAGGCAGGGAGGGAGCGGCGCTGCCTCCTCCTCCTCCTCCTTCTTCTTCTCCTCCTCCTCCTCCTCCTCCTCCTCTCCGGGCCAGCAGCTGAGGCAGCGCTGCCCGCTCCCGGCCCCGGCCCGCTCCCGGCCCCCTGCCCGCCTCTCTCCTCCCTTCCCTTCCCCTCCCCTTCTCTACCGGCCGCCGCCGCCGCCGCCGCGCCCCCCCGACCGCCGCGGAGCTGCCAGGTGGGGCAGCCCGGGGGCGACCGCGGGAGCCTGAGAGGAACCCGGCGCCTCGATGAGCTCCTAGCTCCCACCCTGCCCCGTCCTCGCCGGCAGCAGCTCCAGGTGCGCGGGTCAGAGCAGAGCCGGGGACGCAGCTGGCTGCAATGGCGTCCAACATGGACCGAGAAATGATATTGGCTGATTTCCAGGTAAATTTCAAGCCGCCGCCGCCACGCAACCGTGGCCTCTCGCTGCTTTTCTCTTTCTCCTCGTTGCTGTGCTGCTTGTTCTTTGTGGGAAGGTCCGGGGTGGCGGGTGTGAAGCCCACCCTCCAACGCCTCCGCTCTTTCTTTCTTTCTTTCTTTTTTGTCAGAAATGGGGAACATGTGCCCTCTTCTCTCAAGGTGCGTGAACAAAATGTCTTTAACTTAAGAGAGTTTCAGTTTTTAATAAAAAAAAAAAAAAAAGCATTTTCATCCACTTTGCTTGTTCAAACCCTCTACAACCACCCAGGCCCTGGGACAGCTGTGAGCCAGCTCACTTGGAAGAGGCAAATGCCAGGGAGGATACAAAACTCATCGCTCCTCATGATTTGTCACAGTGTTTATAATGAATCACTTACCGGTACTACAGATTAATGCTGAACAGAGGTGTTTCCATTATAACATCAACACTAACTTCATGGCTGCCTCAGCCTATGACTGTTGTAATGATGGTAGAACTCTTCCCACCCCATTCCAAACAACATGTTTGTGTAGAAAGGAGAAATATGCCCGTAAAAGTTCTTTGTCACCTTCTGTCCTCCCTACAAAAGGGTTATAACTTAACTTCAAACTCTTAAATCTTATTGCCAGAATAAAGTCCTTCTCTAAATAAAAGTGATGTGTTCGGGAGCCTGGTTAATCTGTTCAGTATATTGTTTCTTAATATCGCTTGTTTCTGTATTGTTTTTCTGAGAACAAGTAAACAAAAAAGTGGAAGATACCTGCATTTGAAATAGTGGGGAGAGCCAAAAGCAGCTTGGAAGGGTATCAGATTATATTTGTGTATACCTTTTTAATATTTGCTTTTCAATGAATTTTTTTTTTTTTTTTAAGCTTTGTCCATTTGCAGCGGTTGTTCTTACATGGGTAGGCTCCTGGATATTCTGGGATTGAGTTGTAAAACTGCTGTTTGTATGTTCAACTTCTTAAAAGACTGTTTCTCAGCTGTTAGCAGTGAAACTATTTGATTTAGTTTAAAAAAAGTAATCCATTCACTCTGTGTGTGTGTGTTTAACAAGAATGTCTCTTTGGAATTACAGGTAGGGTGACTGTAGTGTACATTATGTAATTCCTCTTTTGCAAAAGGAATCTGATATCTCAGTGACGTAACATGCGGAGTTCCCAGCTGATAACAGGGAAATGTTTTCCCTTTCTGTACCTGAGTATCTTACATCCATATTTATTAAAACGTTTAACAAATGTTTCTATAATGATCATTTATTTTCTTGTTCTTGGAGATACTTTTGTGTGCGTAAGGAGTGATGTCTCAATTTTGAGGCTGGGGTTTCATAAAGGAGTTCTTCCAGTAACAATACACTGTGTAAAAGGAAACTGGGATGCCAATTCTGCACTCATGCTAGTGGAGACAGACTCTTATGGAATCCCACATTATTAGCTGAAACAGGTTTACATTCAGGAATCCCAGATGATGATTAAGTTAGTGGCTGGTGAATGTAAGATTTTTTTTTTTTTTAATAGCGTTTTCAGTCTGTATCCACTTCCCAAGTTTTTAGTGTCAGTGGTATTTTGCAGTTCTGCAGTATTTTTGTGCTTGGGTTTTGAAACCAATTAATAAAGGTATAAGAGCACCTGCAGTGTTTGGTACCACGAACACAAGTAAGTATTATTGCAAACTTGCAGATGGACAGTGGAGTCACAGAAACCAGTTGTAGATCGAGGACAACATAGTGTGTCTGAACCTAGGACCCAGGAAATATTTTATCATGTAACGATGCTTATTTAAAAAGAACCCAAACCTTTTCTCTTGTATTTCAGCAGACAACTTTGTTTTTCTGTTTCATGCTCTTTTTTTTCTTTTTTTTTAAAATAACATCAAGTTTATCCCTGATTCTGAAACACTGAACTGTCATTTGTCATGCTGTTAAGGCTTCAGATTCGTAAAGGACAATGTCAATCATTATTAGGCCTCGTATCTTTAGACTGTTACGAAATGGTAAAGGATTTTGGGTATTTTAAATACTTGATGGAATTTACAACTCACTCACTAAGACTTCAAAATGGAAAATAAAACATGTGCGAAGTAATTCTGCATGATTTTCCCTTCTATATTTTCTGTACTTTTTAATTAATAAATAAGTTTCTCAGAGTTCTGCTGCCATCTTCTATATTTGTGTGAGGTATCTTGTTGAAGAATGTTGTGTGCATTGGAAATTTTAAAAGAAATTTTTTGTAACTTTGTTCAGCTAATCTTTGCTGAATTAAATTGGGAGGGAAACTTCCATCACCATTTCACCCTTGCCTTTCCCAAGTTACATTTAAGAGGCATAGAGCAGTGGTCTTTGAACTTTTAAAACTTGAAAGGTTTTTCCCTCCCCATAAAAAAATTTTCAGTGAGGGCATAAGTATACTGATGTTGGATGCTTTTGCAAAGCTTTCGTGGACTTATTTTGTATCTTTCAAAGCCATTAGGGATTTTGCCATTGATTTCAACTAGAGCAGGATCTTGTATTGCATTTGGTCTTTGCTTTTAGCTCTGATAGTTGTAACAGGTTACTTCTTCATTCTGAGGTACTAAAGAGAAACAGTTTTTAGAAATATTTTGTATACATACATATATACACATACAAACATTGAATAATTTTATAAAATATTTTACCTATAGAGTAAAACACAGTAAGTGATCTGCCAAAATATTTTTTCTTAATGTCTCAAAACAATTTAAGCCTGTTCTGTGTGGTTTATAATTATTTTTTTTCCCTTCCCTTTTTTAATGAGGTTACTGTATGCTACCCAAGGAGTACAAAGCACATATTCATGCATGTGGGCTGTATAAGCAACCTGTCTAACTTTTCCTTCTTAGGCCCTCACTTAGGAAAGATTATGCAGAAGTTTAGCTTTATACATGAGTAGTCTGATTGTTTTCAGTGGAAGCAGCCAAAGTATTGGAGTTAAGCGCACAAACAAGTTTTAGCTGTTTTACTGAAATGCAGTTCAGAATTTCTCCACAAAGTGTCATTGCATATAGGAAAAACTCCATAGGAAAAAAACCAACAGCTTGTGTTTGTAGCATAAATTCTTTTAAAAAGGTAACTGTATGTGAATTGGTAAATGAGTGGTGCTGCAACATACCTCACATACTGGGGGAAATAAGGGCATATAATTTCTACCAATTTCTGTTGACATCTCTGTTCTTTTGTTTGCGGTGTTTAACTGCAAAATGTTCTTCCATCTCCAGTGGGATACCCAGGTACTCACATGATACAAATATATTAATGATGTATGCAGTTTGGGATCCACTTTTCATTATAAAGAAACTAGATATTTCTTTTTTTTTCTTTTTTTTTTTTTAAATTGCAAACTTTAGTTGCATTGAATTAGTTAAATTGGCATAGTTAAAATGTTCAGGAATGAAAAACAATCTTTGAGTATTGGCAGAAGTGTCAGATGTCGACATTTTTGTATGCTAGCACCTTTCCTTTTTTTTTTTTTTTTTACAGCTTCATTTAGGATGGGGACTAAAATTAGCAAGAATACCTTTTTGTCATTATAAGTTATGTCCACCTATAGGACCACTTTATTCATGTTACGTGGTTGTCCTCACAACAGCTCTAAATGTAGAGTGGGCCTAAGGGTTGGAGTTGCTAGCTCCTGAGTGTCCATATATTTCAAGAACATCTGGCACATGAAGCTTCAGAAGGAAAGTTTTAATGGAATTCACAGTTTTCAGTGACCAAATAAATAAGTAGCTCAAGATTTGGTCTGGGTGGGAAGGCTTTGGTGTGGAATAGCAAAAATCAAAAAATCCCTGCTCCCATCGAAACAACAGATATCTAAGAGTTCTCTTCTACTTCCCTCTGTCTTTCATCTATGTTAATTGTGAAATAAAGTTATGTGAGGTTTTTTCTTTTTACCTTTTTTTTTTTTAAACTGAGTAATAGACTGCTTTGGTATGATTAACACGCTTGTATATAAAAATACCCTTTTTTTGAAGCTTCACCTTTGTGTCAGTCTTTTTCATAAAACCAGAGGTTTGGGGGAGGAGCAAGGGGGAATGGGGAAGGAAGAACCTCATTGCCATCAGTTACAGAAAGGTGAGAAAGCATGCTAGATAATCATGTTTTCAGTTATAAAATTGACCATGACATTGATACATCAGGTTATTATTCTTAATTTTATTTTTTTTAAATATAACCATAATTCAAACTACTCATTTCCTTCTGGAATAGCTAAAATTAAAGAAACTGGAGAATCTTTTTCACTTGGAAGTTAAAACAGTGCTGTTAAATAACTGACAAGATAACAAGATATACTCTTAAAGATTTTTTTTTTTTTTTTGGTGGTTATGAAAATCATCTGTCTGCTTTAGCCCTGTACAAGGTTATCTCTGTTATGCACACTGTTTTCACTGTCTAACAGTCTATGTGCAGAATTTACGTGTGTATTAATTTTTTGGGGGGGTGCTAAGGGAGCTTTGCTTTCTTCTGTTTGTGTTGGCATGCTGGCTCAGGTTTTCTGTCGCTTTTAAGTTATTGCCAGTATGAAAATTTGGTGGGTGAAAAAGGTAGGCAGATACCAGAACAGCTTTGAGGCGGTACTGTTGATTCTTGCCCTGGACCGTGGCTTATGCTGGGGGCTGGAAAGAGTGTTTCAACCATTTTATGTAAGGGTAAACCATCCACAAAGGGGTTTTGAGCAAATAGCAAACTTGATGTCCTTAATGTTGATTTCTGAAAGAAATTGTGTTGTTTTGTCATTAAAGCATTGGAGCAGAAAGGACCGTTCTTGATTTCTTTGCAGACTTTCTGTGAAGTGTTTGGCAATTCAGTTGGAACAAGGTCTTCAACAAAAAACAGGTGCTGAAGAGACTTCCAATCAAAGTTTAAATCTTTGGAAAGTGTCCTTCAACTTATGTTTAAAGTTCTTGGGGGCCTACATTTTCATCAGAAAGTCTCCCTAGGCACCTCAATATCTGGATTTATATGTGT